AATAAAAAAGCATGAAATTGAGGAACGTGGTGGCTATATGGTTAAGATAGATGTCTGATAATCTAAGCACATTTAGCCAACATCATTATGTCTTTATATGCCAACAGCACCGGTTACTCTAAAAAGCAGAAACTAAAGATAACTTGTGTTAAAAATTCAACTTGGACAAGAATGAATGTTCCCATGCTTTGAAAGAAAGTACTAACAATAAAAAAAATATTCCCAATGTAATATTAGGCTTGTAATTTCAATATGCCATCTGCCCTAGTGACCTAATTTCAAACCTCAGTTTCAAGCCTTGAGTACTACACGATTGAAAGTTTAAACAGACAAATGAATTATAAAAAAGGGAAACCACTAACGGTTTATTTTGAGCATACAATTCAATAAAAGGTACCGAGTGAACAAAATAATTTATCAGCTTGCGTCATCAAAAAAAGGGAAACAACTAATGGTATACTTTGAACATAAATACCAGTTACTCCCCTTGTAATAAACATACAGTGCTACCCTTGTGACTGTTAATGTGTGTGTTTGAAAAAGTTTATACTTGTGTTTGGTCCATGACTTTTTCACCAATTAATTGGTACAAACATTGTACATGTATGATCAACATAATGAGATGATGTGTTGCTTTTAAGACTAAGGCCACTAGCTCAAAGGTTTAGATCATAGATTGGGATTGAACTTGTATTTTCTATGTTGCTGCTATTATGTAAACCTATGTATAGGGATCACTTCTCTGTCGTCTGTCACAAAACTAGTCCAGACTACTCATCAGAAACTACTGGTACAAATTCATCCAAACTGAACAGAAATGATCAGTACCAAGTCTAGTTAGCATATCTTCGGTTCAGTGATTTTTGTCAGAGTTATGGCCCTTTAGTGATTTTTATTTTTTAAAGACTTGTTTGGACAACTTCTTTTATACTACTAATGCAATTAAATGAAACTTTACAGGATTGATTGGTACCTCAAGAACTTGCACATATTGAACAGGTTTTCTGGTTGAATGATTTTGGCTGAGTAATGGCCCTTGAACAAAAGACGTGTTTTGACCTGTTGATGATTTCTGTGTCTTCTGCTAGACAGTAGCTGCAACATACAATAGCCTATCATCAGGCGACACATGTGATCACTGATAGCTCTTGTATATTTTTAAGCATTTGGACTCGGTGGAGTTTCTTAAGCATGCTACTTTATTTACTGACATACATTAAACTTTTTCAGTAGCAGTAGAAAGCCAAGCAAGTAGCATTATTTGTACATATATAGTCTATGTCTATGTATTTGCAAGATCAAGTCATGGGTACAACTTGTGATGTACTGCAGTTAAATTTCAGTCTTATGGTATGTCTTTCACCACAGTTTCAAGCGATTGACATGGAAAAGTTAGCAGTTAATTAAGGAAGAAAAATTCAATAAAATTCAATACTGGTGCAGAATTTAGGTGCCATGAAATAGTGTTGGAGTCTAATTATTATGATTACATGTATATTCTTAATTGATAAGTGGGGGAATGTATACTGGTCTATAGACTGATGATTCAAGAGACTTTACTTCTATTCAGTTCAACAAAATTTGTCAAAATTTATGCTTTATGACCTTAACAACTTCTTGTGGAAACAAATTACCGTAACCCGGGGAAAATGGCTGAACTGCTCACAAGGGTTACTATCCAAAGAATGCAGGAGACATAAATGTGTGGAGACTGGCAAAATAGGTAGATGATGATAGCAAGTCCAGGAACACCTAAAAGGAACTGCAAACGTATTTAAAACTTATCTTCAACCAAATAAAAGAAAAACAGACAAACAGGCAAATTTATTATAAAAACAATTTATTTTTGACATTATTTTACCATCAAGTTCATATGAAAAAGAAATATTAACAATTTACAGGGATAAAAGAAAGATTTTTAAAAAATCAAGCTTGAAAGTAACAACATGGAAAAATAGAAATATAAATTTTAAAAATTTAAAATAAATGAATAAATAAATGCAAAAAGTAACACAACATTCAATAATAAAAAGACATCAAAAATAAAGCAAAATACAGAAAACACTAAAAAATATACTCGACGAACTTTGCACATAATTCTGTAAATAAACAAATTAAACAAAAATGTGGAATTTGGGAGAATCGATAATCTACAATGATAATTGCCAACTTTGACAGAATCCTTTATTCTCATTTTTCTTCTGATATATTTCAGCACTTTGGAAAACTACGGTTTAACAAATAATGGTGCATATTTTTTTGCTTTTCGGAACAACGTATACAAGATCTCCACTGCATTTATCTAGTTTTCAGCTTAGACTTTGTCTGTTAAACATAAACCTCTCAAATGTGAAATGACATATTCATTAAATGATAATGAAGGTGACTAAAAAGTGAGTACAGCACTAAATATCATATTTTGGCATATCACACCTTTACACCGGCTGAAATGCACTTTAGAATCTTCATATCTATTTGAATACGATAATGAATGAAAATGTAAAAGGCAAAAAAGATGCAGTATTTTCCTACTTTGTGATCATGATTTCTGCAAGAGTCTAGAAGTACTGCTCCAACACTGTTAAATCCCATGATAATAACTGACAACTGGACATTTACAAATTATGTCAAAAACAAAAAAATAAGCCTGTTGTTCACTACATCTTGATATAAATGAATGGACTAAAATATTTCTTGAATTTTATCTATTAGTTTTTATGTAAGGTCAATAAAGTAAAAGCATTCTACAAACTGAAAGCTTTCTAAAAGCATTATTCTATAAAATGATAATAACTACCTATATTTAATGACCGACCCATACAGACACGCTGCAATGACAATGATACAACTCTTCGTCTGCTGGAAGGAACTGTATGTAATTTTATCCATGCAACCAGTGCACATTTGTGCCATCTGATCATGACCTGCACTGTTTACTATGAAGGATAACATACATGCCATAACTTATAGGCTACCTTCCAGGTTACTTTTCACTGGAAGACTAGGGAGAGTCATTGAGATCAGCAACCAAATTATTTCTAAATTTACATAGTGGCATACAACCTAGATTACCAGTATTTACAACTGTATGTTCTTACTTTGAACTTTTCTCTAAAAAAGGATGATCAAATGGTTTTCTTCAGACAGATTGATGTAAGGAAATGGGGTGATAAAACCTGATATTTTTATATCAATTTCAGCATACAACACATTTGCAGAATAAAAACAAACCATAAATGTAAATAATTGTTGCATTTCATATTGTTTTTCTTTAAGACAAAGTTATTGGGTTTTTATTTCTGAATTGTTAAACATTATCAAGAAATATATGTATATTATTCACATATACATTCACAATGAAGCAGATAATTTCAGCACCTTGTAATCATAACAGCTGTCAAATCTGTTGAACAAAATTTAAAAATACATTAAAATTTACTAAATGAATTGTTTACAATTCTAGGTAAACATTGTCACATTAAAAATTGATCATATGTGCTATGTACATAAACTTGAAACTTGACATTGTGTAAATGACTTTTAAGTCAATATGCATCAATAATTCCAAAATCTTTGGGAAATTCAGCTAAGCATTTGAATGCTTCATAAATAATTGACAAAAAATCAATTTCCATTTAACACATTTGATTTATTGGTTCAGTAAATTACTTTATACAGTGTATATTTTATTGTGTTCTTCAAAACCTAATTGCACTTTCCCCTGACCTGCAGGTCATTGAAATGTTTCGTGGTTTTACTTCTTTTTATCTTAGCGACGAGACTAGAGTGTATAGTTTCAAAGCTTTCATCAAAGGTGTATATTCGATGAACTGGCTGTGATGTTAAATATATATGTATTTGTTTAATTGCGTTATAAGTACATGTATTAACCATTGTTATAGGTACCTCTATATTGTATATCCTCCCAAGATACTTTTGTTTCGTTTCGATAAGAATCTTTAGCAAGAGGATATATTGCTGAATACAATATTTCAAAATTTTCGTTTGCTTCCTCATATGTATATATTGTTTCTATGTTAAATAATTATTTACCTTATTTATATCATTTATCAATTGTGTGTTTATTCAATATTTGTTACATTAACCATTGTTACAGGCACATCTATATTGTATATCCTCCAAAGATACTTTTGTTTCGCTCCAATAAGAATCTTTAGCAAGAGGATACATTGCTGAAAACAATATTTCAAAATTTTCGTTTGCTTCCCCATATGTATATATTGTTTCTATGTTAAAAATTATTTACCTTATTTATATTATTTATCAATTCTGTGTTTATTCAATATTTGTTACATTTATATAATTATACATGTATTTATATGTTTGTCAGTCATACATTTATGTACATGTAATGATTTATGTACTTTTTTGTAAGAAATGTATTGTATATGTATGTACTCTTCAAAACTGGAGGAAATAAAGAAATATATATCAATAATTCCAAAATCTTTGGGAAATTCAGCTAAGCATTTGAATGCTTCATAAATAATTGACAAAAAATCAATTTCCATTTAACACATTTGATTTATTGGTTCAGTAAATTACTTTATACAGTGTATATTTTATTGTGTTCTATGAGAAATTTCATTAAAAAAAATTGTTTTGCTTTAACAGTAAATAACAGTAAATAAGAAGCTTAAACTGGACCTTCCAGAGAGACATTGGTACTTCAAAAATGATAAAATACAGTCAGATGGAGGACTTATTTAATTTTAAATATATCTAAACCCTTTTAAATGAGAATAAAATCAAAACTTATCTAAATCTACACCAATGTATAAAGTACAAAACTTAAACAAACAACAAGTAATACACTTAGGACAATCAAATAAAATTGTGGTTTTAAAAGAAATGCTAGTAACAAATTCTGTTGGTATAAATTCAATCAATTTAATTACAAATACAGTATTCAAATTAGTTCATTTTTTTACTCAAATTTTACATACCGGTACATGTATTCATTATTTTGGTTAAATATTGTACAATATCATTTTATTTCTTATAACAGATTCTTTTTACTGATGTAATTTGAACACTTTCTCTACATTCAATGCAGAGTCATGTAATTTGAACGTTTCGGTAATTTGAACACCCCTTTACAAGCAATGTAGTAATGTAATTTAAACGATTCTGTAATTTGAGCACCCCTTTACATTCAATGTAGTCATGTAATTTGAACACGTATTTTACAATCAATGTAGTGTCGTGTAATTTGTTTACATTTTCTATATTTTCATTGAAAAGTCTTTTGATCTGTACACATTCTTTGTATAACATGAACTATTTTAATATAATGGAGGAAAGTGTAATAAGTTGGTATTCTACATTCAATGTTGTTCTATTTTTTCTTTGTTTTAGCTTTATTGAAAATCTGAACACTGCACAAGTACTAAAATATAGAGGAAAATGAATGACAGCTGAAAATGTTTCTGTGAAACTTGGATACAAAACTAATTTTTCATGAAGATTTAATTGTTATGATTTGAATTAATTTCATGATTCCAGTTATAATGGCAAGATGTAGTAGGAACCAACATTGACAAAACATAAAAATGGTTGACATACAAGATCTTAAAGTGTATAAAGCTTTATATGATACAATATCTTATAAAAAAATTAAAAACAGTAAAGTTATGTTTTTTTTTCAAAACGTAATGGTTGTTTCTTGAAAGATTTGTTAAATATAACTTCTATGTAATTTAATATGCATGTAAATGAATATTGTAAGAAAACAGAATAAAACAATCTGGAACAAAATATTCAGCAGCTATTTTTACTATGTTTGGCGACGATTTCATGCATATATCACTCGCTTTCAATAAAATATACTGATGACTTTTTCATTCTATGTATTCTGTCATCATATTAATCACAATATAAACAATAATTTTACAATCCTCAGTCAGCAAATATATAGCTTTATACACTTTAATAAGCTTATGTTTTGATAAATTATTTAAAAATTACTGGTAAAGAGAATATGTTAGGAAGACTGGACAGCTTTCACAAAATTCTTCAGGTTTTCAACAGACTGTTTGGCTTTTAGATTAATCTCTATTAACTCCTGTTTTCTAACACCCTGTCTCTGAAATGTGGAAAGAAATCATGTATACAATATTAAAACATTTTACCACAAGACGTCTACAACAATTTTTAAGATGACTTATTCATTTTTACATAATTCTCAATCTGCTAAGAGCAATATTTTGTCACCATTAATGAATGTAGTCAGTGTTCTACAACATTTACATCAAGACATGTCAACTTTTCTGAGTGCTGGATACTCCAATTAAAGCAACATAGAAAAAGGGGGCATAACTTTGCAAAAACATATTTTAGAATAATCTACCACATTGAAATTGTGTCCTTACATGACAACAAACATGTATACCAAGTTTCAAGTAGATAGCTTTTAGATTTATAGGTTCTGAGAAAATGGACCTTAATAAAAAGGTTAACAAAAACCAGCATAACAATAGCTATAATTTTCTTCAAAAATTGGAGATAATAAAACTAAACTTTTTACAATTACAAATGTATCTTAATACATGTACATTTAAATAAATTTCTTACATTTCTTAAACTCATTGTTTTTTTTGGAACTTATGCTTTAATTCCTTCAATATTACTTGTGTAATGTCATGACAATATTGAACTTTGTATCTCTAAACATCACTCTTCTAAATCAAAATGTATTTGCTTTTGACACCAGTATAGAGCCACATTGATAAAATTTCATTTTAAGATAAATCTGACAACTAAAAATTGATGTCAGGTACATATACTTACAGCTAAAATCTCGTTAAGTTGTTTAGATCTGTTTTCAAGGTGGGTTTTCTCCTGCAGCAGTTCAGCACTTCTTTTCAGCAGTTTCCGTTTGTCTTCTTCTTTCCCTGAAATATTTCATTTTTTAACATACATTATTAAACCAAATATTGTATTTATTTAAAAACTTTCATTTCTATTCATGTAAAATTACTTATGTTTTGTAGTGTACGAGGGATGATCAAAAATAAACCGGACTGTGACTGGCAATTGAAGAATTTTCATCCTATCACTTATTGTTATATATCACACTTAATCGGAAAACAATACCTGTAAACTGATACTATATCTAATCTGATAACGCAAATAGCTTGTCCGTAACAGCGAATTCAAAAACCATGGTAACGCACACCCGGCGCAGTGCGTAAATTCGCCTTGACATGAGGCGCTTTATGCTACGTGTATTTTACAATATGGCACATTTAGATTTCAAAATACGCCAAAACGTCATGTAGGATATCTTTGACGTTGTCAGTAAAAAATGACTTCATTTAAACCAAATTTATATTTACCATCACAATTCAAACGTATCAGTCATGTTAATGAAATACTCTCGTTAAAACTATGTCGTCTGAATGTCTCGAAAATCGATCAATAGGAAAAAATTGTCAAATGTAAGACGAGAAACTGTTTAAAACGTAGAAAAAGATGATGGCTATCAAGGGAAAAGTTCCAGAAAGCTACAGCATATTTTTTCATTAGCTTAAAAGATTAAGAAAGGATAATAGAGAAATAGAAACAAGTAAGGGAGAGACAGAAAAAAGACATTTGCAAGGACGTTGGTGACGTCAATCGCCAAGACGTTGAAAAATGAAAGTCGATTGACTGCGAACATTGTCAACGATGTTCGACAGTAACAACGGGACGGTGCAGTCAACTCTGAGGATCTTAAAATGATAATAGTTAATGCATTAAATTCCATTAATTACATGTATTGTATTCTTGGTTTACAATTGTATCAATTATTTTCTTATTTTACGCAGTAGTCTTATGGAGAAATTGTGTCAACAATTTAACAGCCACTGTTCAAATTGGCTATGCGTTTTATTTATTTTAAAATAATGATAATTTTGATCATAGTTGTATTATTCTGTTTTTGTTTTCGTATGTATGTTACATTATCATTCAGCAACATTATTTTACATTATTTGTAATACATAATATAGTTAATTGCATGTGCGACTTTTTCAACAATCAAGTTACAGAAGGAAATAACGGAAGTTTGCATCATTACAGGAGCTCTTTATCACCATTCAACCTATTACAATACAATATGATACCCACTTGTACAGAAATATATATAGGCAGTGGATCCGCCGTATCAATAACATGACTGTACCACATATTGGCCTACTCCGTGAATGAGTAAAAATCTGCTCCGTTAAGGACAATACGCTTGTGACGTCGTTAACGTCAATTTTAAAGTTATACCGTGCGCCGCCTTGCTTTACATGTGCATGCCAATAACATCATAACTTTTTTCTTTGTTAATATTTCTTGTTGGTATTTTTTTATCATTTAGGGGATAGATTCCGATTTATTTTCCGTGTATTGTTATGTAAATTCATTTAACAGGTTAAGAATCATTTACAAAGTCCGGTTAATTTTTGATCATCCCTCGTATAATGTTTCATGACCGTGTTGGTGACTTCAATTTTTATGTAACACTATTTTCAATGTAACTCTTTTATCCCTTTAACAGTACACATATATATTGGATACAATTAGCGACATCTAGGTTCATCACAAAGTTTAACTATGATACTGATACTACAATCTAAAATAAACTTTAACCCATGAATTCAGAGGCAATAGATATATAACTCAATGCCCTTGGCTTTTTAAAAACAAATTCACGTAAAAACAATAAATGCCAACAATATTTGGGGCGTGTAAAAACACTGCAATGATCAGGCTATCATTAGCTAAGACCACACTGTGTTCAATGTAAAATTACTAATGTTTTATCAGTGTACACATTACCTGTTTTATTAGATATGTAATTATTAACAGCTGAGAGAGATATGGTTGAACACTTCTGGGAAGATTCCTGCAAATGACAATGTAGAAATTACAATTATCAGAAATAATTAAAATGGACTTTTCTTATGTTTTCAATTAAATTCAACAATGATTAAAATACGAGTAAAGTTTGAACAAATGATGTAAAAACTTTATTTTACCTTTATTTTTAGGTTAACAATTACTAAAGTACAGTAATATACCAAACAAAAGCTAACAATCATTCAGCAGATTTAGTCTTTTTTTTAACTTTAAAGATCACATTAGTTTATTAAAACTAATAACTCTATATAATTGGCTGAACTTATATGGTTTATGTATTAAGTATGTTTAACCCTTAAGTTTCTGATTTTATGTAATTGATTTATCCTGCTTTGAATTTTGAAATGTTTGTTTAAAGTTAAGGAGATTTTAATATGAAAATACAACAAAGATAAGTATAGAGCCTGATCAGATTGCACAGATAAGCAGTCTGTGCTGACTCTATACTTGTGGCAGAGGCTGACCATTTTTGCTTCCTGCACATTAAGGGTTAATATCAATTTTACCTGACATTTATGGCAACTCCACGTTCCTGTAGGTACTATAGTTAATGGTGGGATCAAACATTTTAGATGATATATATTTCTACACGAGTCACACTGTATTAATTGACCTCCAAGATGACATATATGGCATACAGTGTTTTCAGGCTGAAAAGAGAACATTGAATAAGTATTTCTATTACCAAATTAATATACCAGTACATGTATTGCTTTCTTCCTCCTGCATCACTATAGACCAATCCTGCCCAAAAACTGTAGGAGGTGATGTTAAAATAAGATGACATGGGATTTCCTTATCGTTTATTTATTTTATCATCAGCAAATTTCACCTTCCACCTAAATTCTTTTGATTTGACAATTATATGAAATGATTTATCTATAAAGAACATGTTTAACCTTTAGAAACTGAAGGTCGCTTTAACTGATATTAAGACAGGATGTGTAAAATTCTGGTATGATATTACTAGTAGTTTAAAGTGTGATTCAAAATCACAAATTGACAATATGTAAACAATTTTCAAGCTATTTCTAAAACTCTTCCTAGTATAATCTTACCATATTTTCTTTTGTATTTTGGTGGTTGTTGTTTACAGGCCTAGCATTAGGGCTCACAGGAGTTGTAGGTCTACTAGCACTTGGTGAGGTATTTTCTGACTTAGATATCGGTGGTTTAGCTAAAATAACAAAGAAAAAGTTAAAACCAAGAAAAAGTTAAAACCAATTTATAAATATGACAATAATGAAAGCAAAGTCAAATTCTGAATTAAAGTACAGTCCTTAAAAAGAACATACTGCAATCTTTAACTACAGGGCCATTTTAAATAAAAATTCAAATTTTACTTTAGATAACATATTAGATTTGGGAGACAGGTTGAAGTTGTTGTAAAGGCTTCAATATGCAATGCTTATTTCAGACCTTCATATCACAATAATAAACATGTAAAACAATGTAAAAAGGGACTCAATTGATGTTTTTTGACATGACAGAACTGGAAATTTTTTTTTTAGATTTCTTTATCATCTTTTGCATATTTTTCTGGTTTTTAGTACCAAAGTTAACCTTTCTAAGCTTTTGGACCTCCGTGGAGTTCCTTGAAAGTGAAGTTTCATGAAATGTAATAAAAAAGGTTAGTATATATCTACTCACGTTTAGTCTTTTTGGCACCAAAATAATCACTTGCTAAAAAGTTTGTAAGCTTTGGTCTTCTCTAGAAATACAAAAACAATAATCATGACATATATATTTCTATTATCATCATGTTTAAATCTTTACCATTCTTCATGAAATATTCAGATATAATTGCTTCATGTTCCTAAAGCAATCTGGAGAGTTAAGGAATATAGATATAAATGTTATATCATGTATTATATATTGTTTTACATGGTTGGTTTTCTTTCAATACAACTGCTTATGAAACATGAGAATATACATGTACTATACATTGTTTCCAGCTTGTTCATGTTGTATTCAGGTATCATGTTTTATTTCATGAACATATAAAAACCCTGTTAATTTTGCCTTTTTCACATATTGTACTGATTAAATCATAAAAATGAAAAACTCTGTCATCTCAACACTTATAAATTTGATATACATGTACCTAAAAAGACAAAGTTTGCCAAATATACATTACCCGCAGATGGACTGAGAAAAATCATATAATGTACATATCGGCAAGGTGTGTTTAAAGCAATCTGTATTTCTAAATGCATTGAAAGGGTATTTTAATTTCACAAGCCTCCACTCAAGACCTGATAAGGAATACTTTTTTTATATTGTACAGTTTACATTTGATCTTGTACACAAAATTTCTTACCTCCAGTTCAAATCCATATGCAAAATTTGGATTATTTGTACTTTTTCTTTTCCTCTCTGACCTTTTTCCTGGAGTATCTGAATACAGTAAAACCCAGACTCAAATGAAATTTTAAACAGTGAAGAAAAGTTTCATTAAGTTATTTAACAGTAATTATATTGCCAAGAAAATGTTATTTCAATGCTTTTTTTTCAGCCTCTGCTTTCAATTGTATCAAAATGTTGGTATGAAACAAGGATATAAACTCATATATCAAACTTACAAAGAATATATAAAGAGCTTTGTTCAAAACTACAGTTGTTAATAACAAAAACAAAATTTAAGCAACCTTCAAGGTCAATATCATTTAAAGGTCAAGTTTAAATTCTTTATCACATGTGTAATTATTACTGTCAAGATTAAACTGATTCAAGATAACCATTTTTTACCTCTTATTGAATCTGGAGGCACTAGGTCAATACATGCCATGAAGTCCAGTTTCTGCAAACAAACAAAAAAAACATCAAAATATTTCAACATGATGACAAATATGTCCAGTTTTTACAGAAATAAAAACAGAGTTTCAGTTGCCTAAAATCTCCTTGCTTTTATTGAAGGGATTTTTTTTTTTAAATTTCACTTTTTGTTATAAATTATTTGAAAGATTTTACCTTTTTAAGTTCTCTTGCCCTTTCACAAGAAGGATCAAGATGTTTTGAATGCTTCTTCTCTGGAGTTCTTAATGCTGATTTATGTCTTCTTTGTTCCTCTAGTAAACACTCCTAATAAAAAAAAACAAAGAAAAAAACTTACAATAACACCTTACAAATCTCAAATAAGCTTAAGGCAGTAAAGCCTGCAAACTTTAAAATGTTTATTTTTTATGTTAATTTCATTTAAATGATAACAATGATAAAAACACACATCATAATTAATGCATATATGATAATGATATTTTAACACTGTTTATATGCTAAAATTGTCAGTTTTATTGAGTTCTCATTTAAAAAAAACCTAGGTCATGATTGGCTCACAAAATGCATTTTATATCAAGGAGGGTAATGATACATTTTCAAACATTAATTTAGTAAACACTTGTAATGAATTCATAAATCAAAACTGACTCTAAAGAAAACAGCCTTGCACATGTAAGACATATAGCACAGTTAAAAGAGGAAATCTTGAAGAGTCTGGTACTTTAAGAAGAGAGTCTGGTACTTTAAGAAGAGTCTGGTACTTTAAGATACCATGTAACATAAATAATGATACTACATATACATGTATGTTAGTGTTCATCTGTGCTGTTCTACAGAAATAAGAAACATCAACAAGAGTGATTCTAGGAAGCAGTATGAAAAATAGAAGGGAACTATGAACAGAAGTTGATACAGTATCGACTTTTGTTCCTCTAAGAAAATTAACACACAGAATTTTTAAGAAACACAGTGTTTTCATTGGATGACAAATAAAGCTAGACAATAAAGTACAAGGAGTTCAGATGGATAATAACAAGATTAGCTTTCATAACCAGAAGTTTTAGTGATTATTATACTAAAAGGTAAGAAGCAGTAATTGTCTGTAAGACATTCTCATTATGATACTAGGGAACACAGAGTAAAGTTAAGATTTGTGAGAAGAAAACCTTTGATAACTTACTTGAGATCCAGGTGATTTAAGATATTGTGGAACACGTAGTGGTGAGACAGTCTGTACCGGTACTGTGGACCTTTTAGGCACTGATTCTACAGGCTTTTCTCTTATATTTTCCAAATTCTACAAAAAATTATATCTATACAGTAACTTTCTAAAATAAATATTTTACTTTTTTCCACTTTTAAGTTTCTAAAATAGGATCAAGATAGCCCTACAAATGATTCTACATAGCTAGTTGGTTAAATGCCATTTTCATACCTATTGCCTCTCACCAGTGTGTTGGAATCCCCTAATGACATTGGATTCTTTCATGTGAGAAAGCTATCCAGTTAGCTTACAGAATGTTGTGGTTCTACTCTGAGCATGGGCCTGAAATAAAACATGGAGGTCTTCCCTGGCAGTTAAGCTGAAACTTTGACATATGAGTTAAAATCCCAACAAAACAAAGTATTCCTACATATTTTTTCTGTGCCATTTGGTTTCAGGTAATCAATATTTCTAAATAAATACTTCATATCTTCAACTGACATAAGCCCTTTTGCTTACACAGAACAAGTATTCATGAACTGCAATGTGGTTCTATTTTTTTATTTGCACTTAGATTTTCAGTAATAAATGCACCAAGAACTTGTGTTTTCTTCATTTTCTTCATGTTTCTATTAAGCTATAAATACCTCGTTATTGTCTCTGCCTTTGGGTTGTCTTTCAATTAAATCCTTTCTTAGCTTCTGAACAGCTATTTTCTAAAATAGGGACAATTTACAAAATACATGTATACCATAAGCAAGTGACAATGAATCATTCAATGTACATATATAATGTTATTTTTTCGATTACACACAATGCCTAGCTCTATACTGGCTGCATTGGTCTATCATCACTGTTATGCTTTAGTTCTCTGACTTGAAATTTCTTGGTCTCTGGATTAAGTGTTGTGATCAGCTTATGACTAGTACAATGGTAAATAAAATACTAACAAGACATACAGGCACGAACAGATGCATTATAAATTGGGAAAATTTAGTACAGTAATCTAAAAAAAAATCTTTTTTTTTTCCGATTAACAATGCACACATGTAAAGGATATTTTCACTCCAAGCATTATGAAAAGTTTGGACACAGCTGATCAAATGAAATATTTTTGGAAATTTTCAAATTTACATAGAAATTTTTAACACTCTGCAATTGTAAAAGGCCTATATATTCTGTATCTATTTTATGCAAAGCAAAATCACTGCTTACATGTCTTTCTATATGTGTGAAATCAATAACAAGGAACATCGCAATGCGATGCAACCAGGTTTTCAGCAAAATATTTCACAGAAGCTTTGTCATGAAGGGGCATTTGTTTTTAATTGAATTTTTAGGAGGAATTATGGCTTTTTTAATATTCCTCAAACAAAAATGATTGAGAAATTTTATTTTGTCTATTCGCCTTTTTTCCCCAAATGTTTTAGAAAGGTAAACAATACTTTATTTTTGCTTAATTTTTGAAGTTGCGCACTGTAGAAATTGTTCACTATATATTCTGTATAAGGAAAAAATATACAAAGGGCCATAATTCGGTCAAATATTATCCAATCACAAAACCCCGACAATATGTGCCAGGCACTTGATAACAAAGCTTCTAAGAAAGTTTGGTCAAAATCCGTTGAGAAATGTAGGAGGAGTTGCGCACAGAAGAAATTGTTCACTATATATTCTGTATAAGGAAAAAATATACAAAGGGCCATAATTCGGTCAAATATTATCCAATCACAAAACCCCGACAATATGTGCCAGGCACTTGATAACAAAGCTTCTAAGAAAGTTTGGTCAAAATCCGTTGAGAAATGTAGAAGTTGCGCACAGAAGAAATTGTTCACTATATATTCTATATAAGGAAAAAAAACAAAGGGCCATAATTAGGTCAAATATATACCAATTGCAAAACCCTGGCAATATGTGTCAGGGCATTTGATGACAAAGCTTCTGAGAAAGTTTGGTCAAAATCCGTTGAGAAATGTAGGAGGAGTTGCGCACAGAAGAAATTGTTCACTATATATTCTGTATAAGGAAAAAAAACAAAGGGCCATAATTAGGTCAAATATTATCTAATTGCAAAACCCCGACAATATGTGTCAGGGCACTTGATGACAAAGCTTCTGTGAAAGTTTGGTCAAAATCCGTTGAGAAATGTAGGAGGAGTTGCGCACAGAAGAAATTGTTCACTATATATTTTATATAAGGAAAAAAAACAAAGGGCCATAATTAGGTCAAATATTATCTAATCGCAAAACCCCGACAATATGCGCCAGGGCACTTGATGACAAAGCTTCTGTGAAAGTTTGGTCACAATATGTGCCAGGCACTTGATAACAAAGCTTCTAAGAAAGTTTGGTCAAAATCCGTTGAGAAATGTAGAAGTTGCGCACAGAAGAAATTGTTCACTATATATTCTATATAAGGAAAAAAAACAAAGGGCCATAATTAGGTCAAATATATACCAATTGCAAAACCCTGGCAATATGTGTCAGGGCACTTGATGACAAAGCTTCTGAGAAAGTTTGGTCAAAATCCGTTGAGAAATGTAGGAGGAGTTGCGCACAGAAGAAATTGTTCACTATATATTCTGTATAAGGAAAAAAAACAAAGGGCCATAATTAGGTCAAATATTATCTAATTGCAAAACCCCAACAATATGTGTCAGGGCACTTGATGACAAAGCTTCTGTGAAAGTTTGGTCAAAATCCGTTGAGAAATGTAGGAGGAGTTGCGCACAGAAGAAATTGTTCACTATATATTTTATATAAGGAAAAAAAACAAAGGGCCATAATTAGGTCAAATATTATCTAATCGCAAAACCCCGACAATATGCGCCAGGGCACTTGATGACAAAGCTTCTGTTGAAAGTTTGGTCAAAATCCATTGAGAAATGTAGGAGGAGTTGCGCACAGAAGAAATTGTTTACGCCCGCCCGTCCGCCCATCCGCCCGCCGCCCGCCGCCCGCCCGCCGACATACCTCAATCTAATAACCAGTTTTTTTCCTTCGGAAAACCTGGTTAAATATAACATAATATAAAAGACCTATTGCTATTTTTATTATTCTAATAAGCTTGTCTCATGGATTCATCCTTTTACTTCCATGTTTTCATTTGAGGCAATAAGTAACTGATAAAAACCTTTATTCAAAATTGATAAAAAAGAAAAAAATAGAAAGGAAAAAGGAAAAGGTCCAAGATTAAATTAAGAAGTGAAGCATATCTACCTGCTTCTGGCTCATGCTCATAATGTCTTTTTGTAGGTTGTGCAGCTGAATCTTCAAACCATTATCCTGAAAAACAAATGCAGACCATAAATTCTGGTTTATTTTAAAGGAACAGGGAATCACAATAAACATCAAAATTAAACTTACATAAACATTAGTAAGCAAGTCTATACTTTTATACTTGGACTTCATAAACCCACCATAGAAGTTCTTTTGGTTTGACTCTACATATGGTACATTTACCCAATATAGCACAATTCTTTTGTTGTTATTGTAGATCTTTTATTAAAAGTGATTTCAGTTGGATTAGATGGTGATGAACTCAACTCACCTGGACTTTTTGCCAAACAGTCTTAACTCTTAAGTTTTTTTTTTTCAATTTTAACATATTACACATCCTGGGGTATTTCTGTGTTTATTTATACACATGATATTGTTTCAATAATAATAACAATATTTACTTTTTACAAAAAACTGCTATGCTTTAAATTTCATTGTCATTAAAAATATAAATTAGAGCCACTGGATTTTATTGAGATCAAGGGAGACAATTCATTGAGAAAAGTTGTTTATAAAACATCTCAAACTTTAGATATACTTACAGATAAATTTTTATACATAGGAGAATAAAGGACTAAATAAACTGTTAATAAATTACATAAATCAAGAGAAATAACATTTAAAATTATATATCTTTTTGTCAACAACTTATAAAGACCTGTGAATTTTTTACCTGAGGTTGAAGCTGAATCTTTGACACAAGTTTCTGAAAATAAATAAATACAAAAAAGTTAACTTGTTACTTGATCTTAAGTTACTTTAAAGCTTAACATATTCATTTATATATCTTTTTAATAACTATCCCAGTAGTGTGCATGGATATCTTACATAGAATAAATAGCTAATTAATTCTTTATGTGCAATTTAGGCTACATAAATGTCATAATATTTATTTCTTTTATTCAATGGAAACATACAAATTTCATTTATATAGAATTGGTTTCCATGATTACACGAAAATATGTTAAAATTAAATTTCGCCTTGTATTTTACATAGAAGTTATGCATAGAAAATCAATAAAAGGTACAGCAACACAGCAATCACATCAGTCAGACTAATCAATACTTTTACGAAGTTTTAATAATCAATTTACCTGATGATTCTGTATGGCTGCTTTCAGTTGTAGCTGTATATCATCTAACTCTGTTTGAGACATTTCGGATTCTGGTATGATAACACTACAAATGAGACAACGAGCACTTTTGTGTCTAAAAATCACAATCAAAACAATTTGTCAGTCGCATCAACTTCTCAAATTTGTATCCTTGGGCAACATACATGAACAAAAAAAGGAAAATTAATAAAATGGAGTTAAATCAATAATTATACGAATTCGTTTTATTATATTGTTCCATGAAACCTTTAACAGACAAATTGGCAATATCTTTCCATCTATAAAGAAATTTTGCCTTCTTGAATAAAGAACTTATTTTTTCACAGTTTACAAAGTTTTATGTGTAATAAGGTCCAAAATTGCCCGGATGTAAGTGTGCAACAGAACAGATATTTTCCGTTATGATAAAATACAAGAAATTCATGTTTGTGAATGTTAACAAAATTAATTATCTATATTTTTTGATAGCAAAATATAAAGGCTGTTTTATTTAATGTATTTAATTTGTAGACAAACAATTATCTTGTCATAATTTCTCTTTCTTCAACGCGAATTTTACCCCACCCACTTTCACTTAAGAGTTATTTGAGTATTCTGAACAGCATAATTTTTTTGTTATGTCGTCGTAACGATAGCGGATACATGTTTAGTTTACACTGTTTACATGTTAAATCCATGGCAATCAATTTTAATGAAATTATCAGTCTAAAAAATTAAAAAAAGTGCCTACCCGAAACCGAATTAAATTTACTGTGTTATAAATCTAGTGCCTTAGTTGATGAAAATTTCCCCTCTCAGCTAGGGACCAAATTAATTCACCTCCATATATGGCAAAAAACACAATTCTTTTTCACCCCCACATGACAAGGGATACAGGGATAGTGTTTTTAGGACATATCTATTCACCTCTCCCTCCTTATCATTTATCAATATAACAGTATAAAGCTAGAGTGTAGAGTATATGTTAAAAAGTGTATAAATATTAAAAGTATGACAAAATAATAGTGATTGACATATCAGAGAATGATGATAGAAATTGACTTACTAAGTTGATAAATCTGTATAATATTAATAACCCAGTTCTTAGGTTAACTGCTGAAGATTTCCAAGATTGATTTGTCTTTAACATTGATTGTGATTTGATTTGTCTTTAACATTGATTGTGAATTTGTTTGTTTCCATCTCCACATTCATATAATCTTTTACACCTGAGTTTAAAATTCAATTTTTACAGTTGCAAAAGAAGTTATGATTATGAATTTATCTTAGTCATGTCACATGTGGTATAATTAGATTAGTTTAGCAGATGACAAATTGACAGTAAACATGTCTCAACTTTTTTTTCATATAATTTCAGTATAAGTCACCATGTCTAAGAGAGGAGCACAGTCGGAGCTTACAGACAGAAACTGGGATCAGGAGGAGGATCCAGAAGAGGTAAGATGTAAAAAAGTGTTTTGTGTCATTTGTAGTTAATACAGAGCTGTTTATACAGCTGTTTATTATTGCAGTCATCGAATTTAGCACTGGCCCAGTGGCCCATGGCCAGTGAAAATTAGTTCTGGCCAGTGAAAATTTTAAAGAAAATTTAGTTGAATATATAGTAGAATAAATTTAAAACTGGAATTCGGGCCAGTAAATTCAAAATCTAAAATTCATTGACTGTTATTGGTAGATATGCTTTTGATACATAAGTACATATTTACCCTTAACTTCTGAATGGATTTGCCTGCCTTGAATTTGGAATAGTACATTCAAAAATTAAAGGATTTCAATTTCATAATGTCAAGATACACTACCAAAATGATAGGTAATGACCAGGCTTGCATAGATGAGCAGGCTGGCCTTGGATCTACACTGGTGGCAAAGGTAAAACACTGTATTCCAGTAGATTAATAATGGTTTACTTCTGAATATTCCCTTCTTTCTCTTGTATCAGATATATGCTGCAGTTTCTTAAAATTACTGTTCACTTTGATGTTCATTATAATAGCATACTGGGAGTTTGATTTGTTATTATGAATATTATTATTATTAATTCTGATGTTGTGAACAAATGCAGCCTGGCAAGTTATTTTTTTGTGATTTTCATTTCTTACACTGTTCTTAATTGCAGGCTGGTGAGTTTGTGAAAGCCAGTGCTGATAAAATAAAGGGGAGACAAATCATAAAAGCCAAAAGAAGGCAGCCAGAAGGGTCGGTAAGTATTCTGTATGTTCCAGGTTACAAGGCAGCTAACTGGTTACCATTTATATATCATAATCTAGGGTTTCTTAATAGAACAAAAATCATAATAGATCATTGAAAATAATCAAACAACTCTTTTCCAGAGCAACAGATAAGGTGCGTATTTACGCAATTAATTTTATAAAATACGCAATTGATTTTTTAAGAATCCGTATCAAAACCCATTGAAAAAAATAAAATACGCAATTGTCTTAAAAACCCATGCGTATTGTTATTTTCATCACCGAAAAATTAATCTGTCGTTCGCTCGTAGTTTTGGACAAATTATATCGATAAGCATGCTATCCGAATATTCCCGAATCCATGCTAACAAATCAACGGTCTCCGATCTTATTAGTATATAACTGATAACATTATAAACGTCATGTATTGTAATAAAAATAATGCTTAAAATTAAAATTAGAGCAAACAAGTCAGTGTAATAAATTACCAACTTGGCTGAAAAATTACGTCTAAAATCTCTGAAATAGTGATTACATTGTTTTGTTTTCTGTAAGATATTGTAAAAAAAAAGTCACATCTTTGCCTGTATTATAGGAAAACTTACCACCTTTAAATAAACACAGAAAGAGCGACTGTTAACTATTCTCTTAATGTCTGAAAAATACTTCTTTTATATTGCAGGGTTCAGCATTTTCTGGATTTGGTGGATTTTCATTTAAACCGACTCAAACAAGTACTCCGTTATTTGGAGGGAGTAATTTTTTCAAAACTGAATCTAAAATACCAGCAGAGGAAAAGAAAGAATCTCTCAATGAAAAAGAACCAGATAAGCGGAAAGTAGATGTGGCAGGTGATGATGTAGGTCAGTCACCAACAAAACGTCAAAAAGCTGAAACTAATGGAAATGGCAGTGAACAAAATGGACCAAATTCTGCTAGTCAAAACACTTACCTATCAAATTTGAAAGCATTGAATATAAGTGTATCCACGTGGATAAAGCAACATTTAGATAAAAACCCATACTGTATTCTTTCTCCGATATTCAAAGACTATGAGAATCATCTTAATGAACTTGAGAAAGAGAGACAAAAAACTAGTGAAAATGGAAGTGCTACATTAAAAAAGGAAGAGTCAGGTAATTGAATTCTAACGATGTTAATGCCTGTGTCACTTGTATAGAGGAAGGCGAGCTTGTACATACATGCAGGCTAACCAGTGTCTATGCAATTAGCTCCTTAAAAGGCCTGGTGAAATCTGATTTTGACTTTGTTTGTTTTTATCTAAAGCATATTTTTTAACTTGTCCGATATTAAAAAAATATATAGTAAATTCTCAAAAATTTCCACTTGTCAATACAGGCTGTGGGACAACCTGGGCAATAAAGACAATTGTTTTTGCCGATTTCGTGCTCCACTGGTTCACAGTTTGAATCTGTTGCTACCAGCAGGTTAAAAAACATCTTAATTTAACTAGATGGACTGTCCCAAATATGCACCAGTCAGTGGCCACTATATAAATTAAAAAGAAGAGGGTTAATAATTGATGATAAAAGTTTGCTTTTTGACATCCGTCATGGAAGGTTTTATCTAGAATGCCTGCATTTTCAAAACAAAATTAGTTCTTTTAAAGCTGCAGACTTCTAGATTAGTTTATAATAATATAATGTAATAGTTAATAAGAATTTATAGATTTTTACAATGTAAGTGATACATTGCATGTTTTATACCAAAAAAAAATGACAAAATTAACCTCATTTATACTGAAGGTGATAGAATTGGCTTCATTATTATGATAAATGTGTAGATAATGTTAACATTAACATGCTGTTTTATACGTATTCATGGACCAATATTTTATACAAAAAAAAAATATCACTCATTGCTTATCATTTTGTTTTGCAGCCAAACCTATGGAAGAGGACACAAAGCCTCTTCCTAAAACAGGTCTTACATTTGGTATGGGAAATCTGAATGCAGTGAAAGACACACCTCAAACCTCTGTTTTTAGTGGTTTTGGGTTAAAGACGAGCACTATTGGACCATTGACAGGTGGTGCACCTGGTGGGTTCAGTTTTGCTGTGGGAAGTTCGCAGCCATCATCAAGCAGTGGTGGAGCGGAGGGGAAGGATGATGATGAATATGTGCCACCTCAAGTCGAGACAGTTGAACATAAAGAGGAAGGGGCTTTGTACAGCAAAAAGTAGGGAGAGTTGTTTTTTTGGTTCATATTTTTTGTAGTCAAATGTTAAAAATTAGTTTTGCTTAGAATCATTCGCCTCACTGTTACATTGATGTTGACTTGCATTCTTGACATTGGACTATTTCATTTCAAAAAGTTATCCAGCCAAGAAAAAGTAACTTCCTCATGCATAAATATTTTAGATATATCTTGCTCAGAAATTCGTATGTATTTATTCTTTGTTTACCTATAGTGTTTTGTGTTAAAACATATCTTCTGTGTGTTTACTAAAAAGATGTTTATTTCACATTTAAGAAGAAACTGTATAGAAATTATCAGTCTTATCATATATCATATTTGAGCGTAATTTATCTAATTAAAGCTTTAATGATATTTGTAGGTGCAAGTTGTTTTATCAGAAGGACGGTACATGGGTAGAGAGAGGTGTGGGCTTCCTTCATCTGAAGAAACCTGATGATAAAGCTCAACTTCTTGTTAGAGCAGATACAACACTAGGTAATCTTGTTTGGCGTTCTTCATTTCGTTATGTTCTTGTTGTGCAAAAATTGGTTTTTAGCATGACTATTATTTAAAGAGTAGGATATTCATCATGGCATATGCATTGTCATATCATTTGGTTAAAGTGGCATTATTCCCAGTATGAACTATTGGTCAATCACCATTATAACAGTCTATCTTTTGGAACATATAGTCAATTATATTTCAACTAAATAAATGAAAATATTGTCGCTTTGAAATTTTGTGTACAGCTTGAAAGCACAGTTACTACTGAAGGTATTCAATTGAAACTTTAGACATATCTTGACGATTATCATTGTGGCTAAGTATCTAAGATAATAATTCTAGCATGGAAATTTAATGATGCATACCCCTTTATGAACCTACAAAATTCATAGTTTTAACTTTTGCCTGCAAATTTTATCTTATCCTGAAAGTTTTACTTGAATAATCTTTTTCTGCAGCCACTTCAAACTTCACAAGAGTCTTTGGGTTTTTTTTCTGACCAACCAGTAAAATGTAGCTAGAACTTTGAATTATACACCCTGAAAAAACACTATGGCTTATTTCATGCATTAATAATGATTGAGCATTCCACCTGACATCTTATACAGATTTCAGTAAAAAATAAACTTCGACTTTGATAGTGAAACTTTTGTGAAATAGAATATCCTATAGTTTCTTACTGGCCTATATTCTATAGTACACACGTCAGAACAAAGAACATGTAAAACAGCAATACATTGTTTACTTTCAGGCAACATTTTACTAAATATCCGACTATCTGAATCGATGCCATTGAGTCGACAAGGAAAGAATAACGTCAGTATGATGTGTGTGGTAAATCCTCCGATACCAAAAGTAACCGATGATAAACCGATACCAATGTTAATCCGAGTAAAAACTGGTGATGATGCAGATGAACTTCTTGATAAAATGAAGGAGATCCGATCATAATCAAAACTTTGAAGACATTGGTGCTAGAGCTATCACAGTTCAATTCAGCTATCACAAAATTCCTGATATTTTTTTCTCTCTTAATAGTTGCAAGGGGTAATGTGTATGGGCATTAAATGTCTACTTGTTATACTTTATTGTTCATCAAGTTACTAATGTTTCATACAGTTTTAAAGAAGAAATGTTATTGAAAATGTTCATGATTATAGATATTTCAGCTGATATAAGAGCTGATTGGCAAAGACTAAGGAAGTCAGAACACACCAGTTATTGTTCATGATTATAGATATAATTTCAGTTGTTAAAAGAACCGATTGGCAAAGACTGATGAAGTCAAAACACACCAGTTATTTAAAATTCAAGAAAGTTTTATTTCTATGAATATGTTACATTCTATATTTAGTGCTGTTTTGCAATGGAGATAGGTGTGCTTTTGTGCCTCCACTACTTACAGGTCTGAGGCATATAGAATGACCCTTGTATATCAAAATACCAATGTCATGATGTTCCTCCACAGACTGATAAAATGGTAAAATGTGGGGGCATCTGTGAGAATGGTTAACTATGGGTGGCATCTGTGAGAATGGTAAAATCATAAATGTAGAGACATCTGTGAGAATGGTAAAATGTGGGGGGTATCTAAGTTCTATCTATTATTTTCTAATTATATCTCCACCATATCACTATATTATATTTCTATATTAGAGAATATGAATTCCAAACAATGTATGATCAGCTTGTAAATGTAAAATAAAAGTAATTTAAAAACTAAAAAAAGTGTTTTACATTTAATTTATCTTACTTGTATAACAGGGTTACATCTTTCTTGTTAGGAAACTTTGTGAGTGAGGCATCAAACTAATATCCTACATGTACATAATTACACTGATCTCTGGTTGAAAGACTTCAGAACATAATTAAAGGAAATATAATCCTATAATAATTTCGAAACGTAAATGAGGACTATGTCTTGAAATGCACTTGTCAATGTGACAACATCGAACATTCCATTGAGTTTTGTTTCTTTAAAAGGAAATGTAAATACAGAATTAAATGATATTTAATCATACAGGAATGAATAGTGCAATATGGAATAAAGATGGTTGTTTCAAATTGACTATATCTTCCCATGTTACAAAATGCCATGTGTAAAAAGAAGTATATTTATAAAGCTTGTATGTTTTTGTTCTAATTGTTACTTGTTTCATAGTGTTCATTTTTTGGCATCATGTTAATGACATTGCATGGCTGATAATATTTTGGTATAAGTTCAAAACGTTTATATTGCATTGACTTTTACTGTGAACCAAATTATTCAGGAAGAAGAACCTGAATTTTCGCTCCGCCTCTAAAGCTAGAAGTCAACATATGACTTTACAGAGATGATGCCACTTGAAACCCAGAAACAAAATCAGAATAACTGGACTGGCCATTTGAAACAGTTTAAATTAAGCCCATTTTCAGACATTGTCAGGCAACAGGTCTACATTGTCGGGCAATATAGTTTAGTGTGAAAAAATATTTTTGCTCAGTGATATGTATAGGTATCGTATTTAGAATGGTAATCAAATACATGTATATATTATGAAAACTATAGCCTCTGTTCAAAGCTAAAGCTCTGTCTTGGGGGAATAGCACATAAAAGGAATTAACTTACTATAGATTGTCTCCCTTGCTGTCTTGGGAAAATAGCACATTAAATATATCTACATAGATTGTCTCCCTTGGCATAACTAAAAGCCGTTTTGAATTTTCTTGTGTTTTTTTCCATTTCAACATTTACATTCCTTTTTATTACAAAATTCTAAAGTTAAACTGTATGAAGGATTATTATGGAAAATAACATCAGATAGATATTTTTAATGAAATTAGCATTATATTCCTATGAATCATAAATAATGTTATTCTTCCAAACACTTACCCTGGGGGGGGGGGGGCAACTTGTTACCCATGAGTCATTGCACATCAGGATCACCTGGCACATTTAAGATAAGGCCAATAAAAATCTATCAATGGATATATAACGGATTTTAAACTGTTTGAAAATTTCGACAAAATGTATTTATTATTTCTCTGTAACAACAATCTTTGTGAAAAAGTATTTAACAAGGATTTAGATAAAGTAAGACTAGTAAAAGTATGTGGAAGACACGTTTGTTGTTACTTGACTTTGATATGGCGTCTCAACGGTTCCCGTTACAAACCTATGTCGCCAATATAGAACCAGTCCTAATATGAAATACATATATCCACAAAGTCTGACCTAACAAACGGAACAAGTCCATTATATAAACACATCTGTGTCATGAAATAATGCATAGTATTACTCCCTTACCCACCTAAGACACACCTCTCATGTTAGTGTTATTCACTGATATCCTTTTAATATATTTGCAAAGTACTGTATAAGAGGATATTTTTGCTTGACTGTCAAAAGTAGTGCATGTGTTGCCATTTTGAAGACTTGGTCGTTTTCCAGATGTCCCTGCCATCCTACACTCCAGACTTAGAGACACTGTGTTAATTTACTTTACTAGAGCGGGTAGAGTAATCTGATGACATTGTTTCAATGTAAATATAAAAGACCCTGCTACTTACTTAGTAGAGTTCAATTCCCCAGCTAAACCAGCTAAAATAACTTCCAGTCTTTCATATGACTTAAAAAAACCAGGTCCCCTGTAATCTAGGCCCAAAATTTAACTTTGTAATGATCACAAATTATGCAAAAGCTTATTAAGATCTTGTTCGGAATGTTAAGCTCCATAAAATAAAGGGAATCTTTGTGGACAATGTCAAAGGAACCCTTAAATAACGACCAAAGGGGCAATATTGAAAATGTTACAAGCTCGAAAACCATGAAACTCGGGTTAAATTTTTAGAATAAAAAAGTCATTAGAAAAAGCTCTTTAGCACATAACATTACTGGTTACACATTTGACTCTTTCTTTGTTTGGCATTGCTTCATATGATAAAATGAGATCAAATCCGACTGTTGGATTTTCCACGTCAATTCGGTTACTCAATTAATTCAAAGTATACTAGGGAACAAAATGTCTAAATTTTTTCAAAAACATGTACTGCATAAGTCATATGAAACTTGGTAAAGGGGTTGGTAAGTAATATTTCAGGCCTTAAAGCTGAAATGAACTAGATCAAATCTAGTTTGGGTCAAATCAATAACATATCTACCGCGGCAATTGAACCTACCAATGCTATCAGTGCAAATTAAGTCTGTCTTGTCCACTATTAAGCCAGCGTGATATATTTTATTTTTTTTCCCCTCGAAGATGGATGCTCTTGTCCAGATTTAAAGATGGATAAGTCCAGTTAAGACAATTTGCGTGGTATGGGTTAATTAAGGATTTAGTTTGTTAATAATATTGATCAAAACGTCCCTTGTCACTGAAAAAGTTTGATAATCGACCAAATGTGAAAAAAGAAACACAAAGATTGTTACTATGTGAAGATTTATTGACATCATAAGAAATGGTTGGGAAAAATCTTTAATAATTCTATCACTGTGCTATTTTGATATCACAACAACAAAAAAGGTACTCTGATGCCAGATAATCTGTAAATATAAGTCCATCTTGATCCCCATAATTTTACAATCAAACAAAAATGTAAATATAAACGCTTATAAATATTTATCCGCTTTAGACGAACTGAACAAAGTGATTAGTATGTCGAAATAATTACGAAGAACAAACGAATCCTCGAAACTACGTACACAAATTTTAACAAACACTAAATACAGAAATGTCAACAACACTAAAATGAATAAAAAAAGGTACACAAATTGTCAACAAACACAAAATTCACATTGTCAACATACACTTAAAGTACAGTACACAAATGTCAACAAACACTAAACCAAGAGGATCCAGTAAATTTTCTGTTACTCTTTTTATCTTTCACAACACAGAAATAGCCTACAATGTATGCTTTTCGAAATCTGTCAAGATCACTTATTCACTAAATCAATCAATTTTCTGTTTACTAACAGAAAAATGATAAGGTCGAAATTAAATGACATGATTTGAAAATAATAACGTGTTTTTTTTGTAAAGCTTTGCTCACAAAAATCAGTAATTTCTTTGAAAAAAAAAAAGAATTGTCGTGACTTGATGTTTATTTGAACTAACGAAGATATCATTCCACTCAATATAAAAGATGAGCAGTTGTCAATTGAGGCACCCACGTATCAGTTTATCTTTTTGTTACGAACCATTTCTCAACAACAGTCAAAAGTATTTGTTTCGAACCTAGAATTATATTCACTATCAAAACGGAAACCCATTTCAAAAAGATTTGTAACCCAATAAATCACCAAGCAATGTCAACATCTTAAGTCAGTTGTATTTCTTCTGCGTTGCGTCCTATTTTGTTGTAAGGAACTTTATACTTACTGCCCCAAATTCAAAATTTGTATCTTCCATTTTTGCTTGATCCTTGGTTATCAACATTAATTGTCTATGAGTAAAATATTTATTCTATCGTTAACTAAGCAACTTGCGTAAATCCGACTTAATTGAAGTACGATGCTCTTTAAAGGCCCATTAATTATGCCTCAGAAACTCTATCGTTTTTATTTCGCAAAAACTTTTTTTATTTTTGGTATCTTGTTACACTTTCAAAATAACAACAACTCATTTGTCACATAGATGAACTAATGAACTATATTTTGCATTCCTTGCTCCGTTTGCAATTGGTATAATTGTAGTGATAAGTATTTTGTATGTAAGTCAAATACTACTTTGTTTACATTTAGCTACCTTTATGACACTTTACTTCAAAATCAGTGCTACTTTCTTGAGAAGTAAATAACTCATATGCTTTAAATTCATAATTAAAACATCAATAAACACACGTTGGACATTTCTGAACAATTAGAAAAAATATGGATTTCTGAGGCATAATGTTCCCTTAAGCTTGATCATTACATAATAAGAAAATGTTTATAATATTATATTATATAATATAGTATATATGAATACGCTGTTTTATGAACTATTTTTAGCATTTTGTTCTCTCCCACTCGTTTCACATGTATTCAACAAATGTATAAATGTTATACAATTTGTTGTATTCATGGACCATAAATTTCCCCTCAATGATCTTGCATTTCAATAAAAAATGCCATAAGTTTATCGTTTGTTTTATGAGCAATAAATTTGTTTGTGTACTTTCTTCCCCCAAAAGGAAGTAGAAGTTGAAATTATTATTGCAATGTTTAGTTTGGGGTATTTCAGCTCACCATTTATATATAAATATCTATAACTAGTTTGGTATACCAGTAAAGTATGGTGGTATTTGTACACTAGAATTATATGCGAAATTTCTACAAACATGTACATACAGTCGAACCTGTCGTTAAAGACCAGTCTTTGGAAATAATAATAAAAAATGTA